AAAAAATCGATATTACCAACCCAACCAACTTGTCTCATGGCCTGTCCCAACCTGCTTGAGTGACCAGCCTGTCCCAACTCATATAAGATTTAGGATTTTAGACAAATATTTGTAATCTGAGCTCACTAATAAACCTTGCCCATAGGAGCCCGCATGAGTAAGTCTAGTGTTTCGTTTGATTTTTTTTTTTATTTTTTTTTTTAGTCTAATATTTAGTTGGTTTGTTTTTTGGTTCTCATGTTTAAAGTTTTTATTTTTTTTCTTTCTGGTTTTTTTCCCTCCACTTGTAAGCATTATATGTTACTAGATTTTTTTTTTTATATGAGATGTAAAATATATATATATATATATATATATAATTAAAAAAATCAAAAATACTTGAATTATGTTAGAAAGTAAATAAGAAAAATAACTAATGAAAAATGTGTAGAATTTAATAATACAAGTGTAATGAAAAATGTAGAGCTCAATCTGATTTGATTTTGACTCGTAAAATTTAGTCTTATAAGTGGGACGTGATTTTACTTTTTTAAATAGATCCAGCCTATACCAATCCGTTGATTGGTCAAAATCTAAAAAAAAAAAATTAAAATATTAGATTTAAATACAATAATTGCAAACTGGAGAAACCCGACTTGTCCCATGACCCCTAACTCTCACACAATCAAAAGTAAAAGGCCAAAATGAACTTCCGTGTAAAAGGAAGGGTTGTCAAGTGTATTTGCGCTTAATTTGAAAATATTTTACAATGGGTGATAGATTACATTATAATAACAAGATTTATTCACGGTCCATCTGTTTGGATATAAAATACTTTTTGAAAAATATTTTTTATATTTTTTGGTGTTTGGAATAATAAAATATAAAATGTAAATAAAAAAATAATTTTTCATAATCAATAAAAAAGATATATATATATATATAGACATATTTAAACGGAAAATAATTTTAACTTTTAAAAGGTGAAAAGCATTTTTCCGAATTAAAAATTTTACTAATGTCACAACTTGCCACTCTCACATCTACCACCACACCACGATTAACACAGCCACTATCACTGCTATTGCCACTAGCACCATTACTGCCCCACTACCATGCCACTACCTCTACCTCTACTTTCATTTGCATTATATTATGTTAATGGCTACAAATATTTAAAACTTGTTTGAAGTGAGTGATCATTCAGCTTTTGAGCAACATGTGTGCAGGCAGGGGCAGCAATGAGATATGTGACCTATATAAACACCTAAAGTGAATTGAAATGGAGCGAAGACAACAACAATCCAAAAAGAGGCTTTTTAAAACTGTTCTTGACTCACCCTCCAATGAGATATGTGACCTATATAAACACCTAAAGTGAATTGAAATGGAGCGAAGACAACAACAATCCAAAAAGAGGCTTTTTAAAACTGTTTTTAACCTTTTTAAAACTGTTCTTGACTCACCCTCCCATCCCTCAGAACCCCATAATTAGCCTATATCTTCCCATTTTATTCTATTCTATTCTATATTATATATATATATATATATAGTTCATTTACTTACACTTTTAATCCATAATCTATTTCAGTTGACATTAATCCCCATGTACTCACCATCTCGTCTCGTCTTGTCTGCTATCATTTGCATTTTTATTTTATTTTTCTTTTGGTGACTTTATTTTTTAATTTAAAAATAGTGATAACAATTTTCAAAATTTTTGATTTTTTTCTTTTTAATGTGTTTCTAAGTATACAAAAACTAGGAGTGAGCATGATCCGGATTGGACCGAATTGGGATAAAATTAAGACCAATCCGTTATTTACGGTTCTGAAAAAATTGGAACCAATCCAATCCGTTTAAATCATAGAACCAATCCGAACCAATCCGTTTAAAAACGAATTTGATCGGTTTAGGACTACAAATTCACATAATTAAATAACAAAAAAATATATATATAACATTTTAATTTCATAAAAACATAAACATAGCGCTATATTAGTTCCACCATAGCAACATGTTTTTCTATAATAGCAACATACTGTTCTAAAATTTAAACAATCATAAAAAAATTAGTTTCACCATAAATATTTAGACCATTACAAATTAAAAGTAAAAACTAACAAACAAAAGTAATAAAAGAAGATATGATGCGGGTTTAGGTTTGAGTTTAGTTTATATGAAATAAGAGAAGATACTATGGGGGAAAATGTATAATAAAAATATAGACTATTTGTATACGATCCAGATCGGTTCCAATTCGGAATCGTGGGGTTCAATCCGAAACCAATCCGTAGACTACGGATTTTTAATTCTTCAATCCAAAACCGAATCGCGGATTCAAAAAACCAATCCAAACCTATCGGATTGAACTGAACTGGATCGGATTACGGATTTCACGGATTCTTTGCTCAGCCCTAACAAAAACTAGTTCACTCCCCCACCACCTCCACCTCCACCTCCCCAGGCCAACCTTTGACAACCCTCCAACCACCTTCTTGTGACCTCTAACTAGCCCATTGCCAGCCACCACCAACAATTCACTAAGGTCATATTTGATTCACAAGACTGATAGTGAAGTATTAATAATCCTATTAAATTAGTATGGTATTCACTATCCAATTAGATTAAATATCCATTGGATTAATAATCCCACCCCTATCCCATTACTAATAATCCTACAAATTTGTTGAATTAATTATCCATTGAATTAATAATCCTAAATCAAAATGTTAAAATAAACATAGAATAATTGAGCTCACGGATTAATAAACTTAATCTCATGCTCTAATCTACCAAATCAAACATGCCATAATAGACTAGGTATTTTTTTTTTTTTAATTTATTTATTTTCCAAAACATTTCAAAAACAAAAACAAAAACAAAAACAAAAAAATGACAACATTACCAAACATCACCACTCTAATCACCCAGAAATTACACAATTATGAAACGCCAGCTCTCTAAGCAGGTGTGAAGGATGATCATATCTGATCTGCAGGTAGCGTAAATCTGACCCTAAAAATCATTTGATATGTTCCCCACACATGATATGCTATTCTAAAATCAAACAGGAATCCTCTTTAAGTATGCCATATCCGTATCAAATTTTCAATTTTTTTAAAAAAAAAAAGAAAAGAAAAAAGAATAAAAAGAGGATTGATTCTTGAATGATTAACCTTTTTTCAGTTCAAGTCGCTATCCAAGCATATGTTTAAGAAGAGCATCTACCTTTATGATTTACCAGTATATATGAAATGAATGAATGCTCTGAAAAGCATAACACAGCTGTCATCTTGTTTCTTTCCATGAAAGGTTGTTGAGCCTAAAAGACCAGCCAGCAGTCTCTTTCAATTATCTAGTTTCAAAAACTGAACAAAAAACAAGGTAGTCTGAGCTGAATCACTGCTCTAAAACATCCAACATCCAGGGTTAAGTTAAAAACCAATGAACCACAATATTCATATGACAAGAGAAAACAGAAAATTTGAATACAACAAACACGCGACAGCATATGATCACAAAACAAAACTAAAATAATCGCAAATCAGTAGTTCACATTTGATTAGATTCTCCACACACAAAAAAACAAAACAATACCTCTAAGAGCATCAACCTCAACAAATTTTGAACCAAATTATAACTCAAATTCCACTTTTCTATTTTAGATAACCTTTTCTTTACGTGCACATTCCATCAAACTCTATTCTAAAATTCTATTTCATCAAAATATTATTTTTTATTCTTTGGAGTGCAAAATGATGTTAAAACATGTATAAAATAAGGCCCAAGACAGCAACAGATCAACACCAGAGCAACAACAACACAAAAGGGCCGAATCCACTGAGGGGTGGTCGATCAGTCAAGTCAAATTTGAGCATTTTCCTTCTTTTGTTACAGGGCACTCACGAGACATGCGAGAGGACAACCGGGTGGACAACCGGCCATGGTTTTTTTGGCCCAGCTTTGCTCCAAAAAATATAATAAAAAATAAATTAACTTATGAACAGTGTCTCGCTTAATCAGGTGAGATGTTGTAGCAAAGTCAAAATGAATGATTGCTATAAAGAGTTTGATGGAACACCTATTTACAACTCTTGCTCTCTATAATAGCTTCAAAACCATTGTAGAGAGCCTGATGTGGATGCTCTAAGTCATACATATTTAAGCAGATCAAACATTGGGGATTACTTGAGCTTTCCTTCTCAGAAGTTGTATGGTTTATGTTCAAGGAACTGGAAGGACAATGGTAAGGACAAAACAACGCAAATTGAGGTTATGAAGATAAATCTTATAGCACAAGATCGTGCAGAAATGCGATCCTAGATGCTGTGCAGTGGGAAAACATAACTTGCCCGGTTGGGTAAAAGGCAAGGAGTGATCATTAGGAAAGCCACTGGAAAAAGTGAAGCAAAAGGCAAGGTAGAAGGCATCCATGTAACCATTGCCTGCTTTGCATCAAAATTGATTTGCTAAAAGAGATCTAGTAAAGCATCATAAATATTTAATATAACTGAGCATAGAATAAGCAAAACTTCTAGAAGAAGCATAGAATATGCCCTCGTAGTTATCATAATATAAATGAAACTTTTAGAAGCAGCATAAAATGAAATATTTTCAGAAACAAAATGTGAACTAACAAACAATCAACACGTTCGGTGAGAACAAACAACAGGACATCAACTTGAATAGGCACGCATTACAAAAGAAATAACGAAATATGAGGCATTCTGCACCTCAAAAGATCAAGAAATGTCACAAAATGCACAATAACTGTCATAACCATGTCAAGAACTTCTAAAACTAAATCGAATTAGAAACTCAACTAAGGAAAAGTTATCAAGAGGGGCACATGTCACTTTGACAACAACTAGACACATTTTTTTTCTCTGACCATTTGTTACTCAAATTTGAAGTTAAAATAGAGAGAGAAGAGCAAAGTGAAACAAATGTGGTGTATGAGTTTATATGATCACAGTTCATATAAGACTCTGTTTCTCCGAAAATCTACTACATAGGTTCTAAAAAGCAGATACTGAGCAGTAAGCAAAGTGGAGAATGCTGCTTTGCCTTGGACTTCGACATAACACCAACACCTATTGATAAAAATCAAAATTCTCAACATCAAATACAATAGCTATACAGTAATATATTATCCAGCAGTGTCATTAAACAAAGAAATCAATCTTTGAGAGAGAGGATCCTCAAATTTATCATGCTCAAAGAGCAACTTACATTCTTTCAATTTTTGTTAGACACAAAAAAGGAACTTACTTTCAACCAACATTGACCTGGAAAAGTGACCAAGAAAAGCAGACTTGCTTAGGAAATCTGCTGATCCCCACAGCACCAGAGATGCATGATTGCATCAATAGAAGTTAGGGGTCTCAACTGGTGTGTTTTGAAAAAATAAACTTGTATTTTGGTAAATAATTTTTTTTCCCTTTTTTGGGAGGCAAACTATATCATGGTTTGGGTGCCATGTTCTTGGTTATGATTACTTTGCTTGTCATATTGTAGTCATGTACTGCACTGGTAGAACGAGTTAGGATTTTTGATGTTGCATTGCAGATTGCAGTATCAAGTTACCCTCATGTATCTTTGACATAGTTTCATGTGAATTGATCCATGATAATAATGCCCAGTAGTGTCCAGCTACCCCATTTCTGCTTTTCTTTCTACATTTCAGTAATGATTCCTTTCCTTCTTTTCAATAGATGAGGAAAGGAAGACTAGTGGTCAGTGTGGTGACAACCAAGATGTTAGTGCAAACTCACCAGCACCAACCACAGCCACTGCAACAAAACCATAGCCACAGTCACAACCCCAGTCCCAGCTAGTGTAGCCACAGCAACAGCCACAAATACAGCCCCAGCCACCAATACTGGTAAAACTCGTCCACACCATCATAAAGTTAAAAAAAATAAAAATAATAAGACTCGAAACTGAAATTTAAAGTGCAGGAACACTTCACCATGATTGATGGTGGTGATCCTGAACTACCTAGGGCTTCCTATAATTATTGTGGTAAGGATTATAGTGCTCATCCAAAACAAGTTGGGATGAGCAATATATGGATTCAATTTAATAATCAATGCTCTAAGTATATTTATAGGGTTAGCACTATGGTTGTCACAGTAAAGGGAGGTCGGAAAAGACTAAGGGACACCTAAATCAATCAAGAGACAACGAAGCCAAACAAGTTCAGTAATGGCACGAGCCATAGCACGGTACTCAGCCTTGGCAGTGGAACGTGCAACAACAATCTGTTTCTTGTTCTTCCAAGAAATCAAGGAACCACCAAGAAACATGCAGAAGCCAGAAGTGGACTTGCAATTAGTGACATCACCAACCCAATCAGAATCAGCATAATCTACCAAGTCCAAAGAGGAAGTAGAAAACAACAGTAAATCCTGAAAAATAGTGCCCCGGAGATAACGAAGAATCCGAACCAAAGCAGCCCAATATGTAGAACGAGGAGCAAAAACGAACTGACTAACCACATGAACAGCATACGCAAGATTAGGGCAAGTAACTGTCAGATAGACTAAGCAACCCACGAGCTCTCGATATAAAGTAGAATCATCTAGAAGAACACCATCAGTAGGGATGAGTTTTACATTAAGCTCAATGAGGTATCAGAAATCTTAGTATCAGTAAGACCGACACAATGAATAACCTCATTGGCATACTTGGCCTAAGAAAGAAAGTAGTCTTTAGGAGAAAAAACTATCTCAATACCAAGAAAATACCGTAAGGGGCCCAGATTCTTCATGTCAAAAGTGCGAAAAAGATGCTGCTTGACCTCAGAGATAACAGAAGAGTCAGAGCCAGTGATGATCATATCATCCACATACAATAATAAGGCAAAAAAGCCAGCAGAGGTGTGGAGAAGAAATAAAGCAGAGTCCTAAGCACAAGGATGAAACCCAAGCATAGTAACAGCAGTCTGAAAGCGATCATACCAAGCACGAGGAGATTGCTTCAGACCATACAGAGTACGCCAAAGGCGACAAACCTGTTCAAAGGAATGGTGAAAGCCCGGGGAAGGACGCATTTAAACCTCCTCAGTGAGATGACTATTAAGAAAAGCATTCTTAACATCTATCTGATAAAGAGGCCAAGAACGAACAACAGCGACAGTGATCAAAGTACGAATAGTAGTCATCTTGGCAACAGAAACAAAGGCCTCCTCATAATCAATACCATACTCCTGTGAGAAACCTTTGGCAACCAGACGAACTTTGTAATGCTCAAGAGAACCATCATAATGAGCCTTGACTTTGTAGACCCATGTGCAACCAACCAAATTCTTACCAGCAGGCAAAGGAACCAACTTCCAAATACTAGTTTTCTGTAAAGCAGACAACTCATCCTCCATAGCTTGAATCCAATGGGGATCCTGCCAGACCTACTTGTAAGACTGAGGTTCTGAAAAATAATGAATAACAGACAAAAAAGTACGATAGAAAGCAGAAAAACATATATTAGACTAACCTAACCTGTTTGGAAGATGATGCGCTCAAGTAGGATAGCGGTGTGCAGCAGGATCAGAGTCGTCAAAAGCAGGAAGATCAGCAGTAGGAGTAGAGACAACTAGTGAAGGGAGAGCCAGGCGAGGCGAATAAACTAACAATGGAGGAAGAGACGGAGGAGAAGAAGCAGGCTGGGGGGATAGAGGAGAAAAAAGAGTAAGGTCATGGAGAACAGTAGAGATGCACTCATCAAGAGGGACCTCAAAAGGAAATGGATCAATGTGAACCAAATCGTCTTTGGAAACTAGAGCAGTAGGAGGAAGCTGAAAGTAAGGTAGACGTTCAAGAAAAGAAACATGACGGGAGAGGTAAAGATGACAGGAAATAGGGTCATAACATTGATAGCCCATCTGAGTAAGACTACAACCCAAAAAGATACATAGGACAGACCGGGCACTAAGTTTAGTCTGATCTTTATGGGGAAGAAGAACAAAACAAGCATACCCAAACACATGAAGGAGTGAATAATTGGGAAGTTGAAAGAACAGAGCCTCGTAAGGAGACCAACCAGAAAGAAGGAGAGTAGACATGCGGTTAAGAAGAAAAGCAGCAGTAAGAACTGCCTTGCCCCAAAACGAAGCTGGAACGGAAGCAAAGAGAAGAGACCTAGCTGTCTCAAGGAGATAACAGTAATTACGCTCGGCTCTACCATTTTAGGCAGGTGTATCAGTACAAAAAGTTTGGTGAATGGTACCCAAATTGGCCAAATACTCACAAAACTCAGTTTTAAAATATTCCCCATCCAAGTCAGATCGTAACAATTTAATGGTAGCCCCAAACTGTGTGGTGATCATAGATTGAAATGTACGATAAGTCAGATTTAAGAGTCATAAGATAAACCTAAGTAGAATAGGTGCAATCATCAACAAAAGACACATAGTATGTGGAACCACCTTTAGTGAGAACAGGAGAGGGTCCCCAAACATCAACATGCACAAGTGAAAATAGAGAAACAGAAGCTGTAGTACTTTTATTAAAAGGTAAAGCTAACATTTTGGCAAGTTTACACCCCCGACATTCATCAATGTTACTAGGAGAAACTTTACCCAATAATCCTAACTGAGCTAAAGACCGTAAGCGATCAACAAACAAATGACCTAGGCGAAAATACCATAAGTAAAACTAACTCGATTGAGAATCTAACTGAAATGAGAAAAAAGCAACTAGAGAGGTGGATAGGGGTAGATGCAATCTTTCTGCCACATAGAGATCTCCAACACTACGCCCGATCCTAATCTGCTTTTTGGACACCTGATCCTGCACACTACAGACAGAAGAGGAAAAGTAAACATCAAAATCAGAAGTATGAAGTTGACTGATAGATAATTAACTTACAGATAGCTGAGGAACATAAAGAACGAAGGGAATATTAACAACAGACATGGCAGAGGATAAGACAGACCCAACAAATAGAACAGGCATACCAAATCCATTAGCAGTATTAACAGTAATAGAAAAGGAAGGGGTGATACAATTTTGAAGTAAGGAAATGTGAGGAGTCATATGATGAGAGGCACCAGAGTCAAAAAGCCAGACAGAAGAGGAGATACCTGAAGAAGACCCAAACAAACCTGAATAAAGAGAGGTGAGAGCAGAGGCAGATAAGGATGGCTGTGAGGTGGACAGGAGATGTTGAAGCTGAGCTATCTGGGCACGCAAGGAAGCTAAGTCAGGATCAGAAGTCGGAACAGATGTAGTATAAGCAGCAGGAGGTCGAAACTATGTCTGAGGCGACTAAGAAGACTGAGCAGACTGACGTCCCTTCTTGGGACAGTTGTACTTCCAATGGCCTTTCTAATGGCAAAAAGCACACTCATCAGAGGCTAGTGGCCCCTTCTTAGGCTTTGCAGTGGAATAAAGCTGATGATGTGATGGGGTCGACAACATGGGAGGTTGAATAGGAGCCAAGAAGACAGATGGAGACAGAGTCTGACTAGCTGTCTTTAGACAGGTTTCCTCAGAGAGGAGCTCACGAACAATAGCATCTACAGAGAAGAGAGAAGACCGATGAAGAATGCCACCACAGATAGCCTCATACTGAGGGGAGAGAGCCGTTAAGAACTGCACTAAACGACCTTGTTCCCGAAACTCAATATAAGCATCTAGTGCCTTGAGACTAGATGGTTCCATGATAGCCAACTAATCCTAAAGACCTGTCATCTCAATGTAGAAGTCCTAAATAAATTGATCCCGCTGACGAGCACTTTGAACAGATGTTTCCAACTCATACCATTTGGCAAAGTTGGACTACTGATACACACCCAACAAATAGTCCCACACCTCCTTAGCAGTACTATAGTTGGAAAACATCATTTCAATACAGTCATCCATGGAATTATGAAACTAGGTCAGAACTTGGGCATTATCACAATCCCAAGTGTCACAGGAAGTCAAATATCCTTCTTGTTTCGGGTCCAATGGACGAGGAACAGAACCAGAAACATAGCATCATTTTTTCTGACCAAGAAGGAAATTCTTCATAACACTAGCCCAATACGTATAATTGGCACCAGTGAGTTTACATCTGATGGCTTGGATTTTGGTGTCCGTCATTGCAATGAACTAAAGATAAATGGGTCAAAGTATAATAATAACTTAATAAGTGGGGCAATCAGGAAATAAGGGTGTTAACAGTATTGAGAACAAATTACAGAGACAGAGAGAACCAAGGACAAAGTCATGAGAGAGAGTCGCGATGACGAACCGAGAGAAAGCCATAGAGAGAGAGCCTTTACACTATCATCGGTACTGCTCTTACCCATTCTCGAATATACTTATTTATAACGTCTTTTCTACTCTTGCCACACATCCACCTTAACATCCTCATCTCAACAATACCCATCTTCTCTACATGTTGTTTCTTAGTTGCCCAACATTCTGTCCCATACAATATCGCTGGTCTAATAGTTGTTCTATAGAACTTCCCTTTTAGTCTAATAGGTACTCGTTGATCGCATAGTACTCCAGATGCACTCCTCCACTTAGGCCACCCTGCCTTAATTCTGTGGACCACATCCACTACAATCTCCCCAGTCGTTATGATAACTGATCCTAAATAATAAAAATATTCACTCTTAGATAGTTCTTGGTTCTCAATCTTTACTTCTCCTCTGCTTCCATTGTGGCTGTTACTAAAATTACACTCCATATACTCTGTCTTAGTTCTGCTTATCCTAAATCCTTTAGATTCAAGTGTTTTTTCCCAAATCTCCAATTTAGTATTAACTCCTTCTCTAGTCTCATCCACTAACACAATATGATCTGCAAAAAACATACATCATGGCACATTATCCTGAATATTGCGCATCAACTCATTCGTAACTAAAGTAAAAAGATAAAGATTTAAAGTTGATCCTTGGTGTAACCCTACAGAAATTGAAAATTCACTCGTCTCTCCAGCAAGTGATCTGATAGTGGTCACCACACCTTCATATATATCCCTAATCACATCAATGTAACCTTTTATTACCCATTTCTTCTCTAACATCCACCAGATTATATCCTAAGGCACTCTATCATATGCTTTCTCAAGATCGATAAAAACCATATGAATCTCTTTTCTTTTCTCTATACTTTTCTATTACTCTCCTCAAAAGATAGATCGTTTCCATTGTTAACCTACCAAGCATAAACCCAAATTGATTCTCTGATACCTCTGTTATATCTTGCAATCGACGTTTCATCACTCTCTCCAACACTTTCATTGTGTGACACATTAACTTGATTCCTCTATAGTTGTTACAATTCTGGACATCTCCTTTATTCTTATATATTGGCACTAAAATACTCTTCCTCCACTCCTCTGGCATTTTCTTAGTCAACAAAATCTTGTTAAATAACCTAGTCAACCAAACAATCCCCTTCTTACCCAAACATTTCTACGCTTCAATAGGTATATCATTATGTCCCAAAGCCTTAATCAATTTCATCTTCTTAAGTGCAAACTCCACTTCAAAGTCTCTAATCCTGCAATAGAACCTATAGTCCTGGTTTTCCTTATTATTGCACACTTCCTCCCCTTATGACCTACCTCCATGTTCCCCATTTAACTTCTTAAAATAATTCTTCCACCTCTCTTTAATCTCTTCATCCTTCACCAACACCTTAGAGTCCTTACCCTTGATGCACTTAACCTGATTAAAATCTCTTATTTTCCTCTATCTTATCTTAGCAAGGTTGTATATCCTCTTCTCTTCCTCCTTACTATCTAGTCTAGTGTATATATCATCATAGGCTTTCAACTTAGTCTCCCTCACTACTTTGTTGGCATCCTTATTGGCCAATCTATAGCGCTTAAGCTTTTCCTCAGTTCTATCATTCTATCACTTTTTAAAGCTCTCTTTTTTCGTCTTTATTACCGCTTGGACCTTCTCTCTCCACCACCCAGTTTTCCTAAAGTTGGGTCCCTTTCTTTTCGACTCTCCTCCAAGAACTTCCCTTGAGATTCTCCTCATACAATTAGCCATCGAGTTCCACATTGTGTTAGCATCATCTTCCAAATCCCAAGTATCTTCTTTATCCATTCTATTCTTAAATGTGACTAGTTTATCCCCTTTTACGTCCCACCATCTAATTCTGAGACACCCACTATCTTTCCGAGTTTGGTATTACCCTCTAAAGCATAAATCTAGTACCAAAATACTATATTGAGACGTTAAGCTCTCTCAAGGAATCACCTTACAATCGCTCCATTTTAGACGGTCCCCTTTTCTTACTAGAAAATAATCTATTTGGCTCCTAATTAACCCACTCTTGAAGGTTCTCAAATACTTCTCTCTCTTCTTATACATAGTATTAGCCACCACTAGGTCAGAAGCCAACGCAAAATCTAAAATACTTTCTCCAG